GTAGAAGCCATGTTAAGAAACAGCAATGTGTTCTACAGTTTCTCTGCCCCACCATGGCTTGCGTGGTCTGAACCCAGGAAGCATGGTTTCCACAGTTCTGGTATGGAACTACCAGAGAGTCCTCTGGAAAGAGTGGTAACTACAGGAGCCTCTCCAGCCATCCAGCCTCTATATGTGCAGCAACAGTGAAGAGATGGGTGACATAAAAAGGGGGGGGGGGAGATGCCTTTTGGCTGAATTTTAGGTGCAGTGGCTGATGGGATATGTGCCAACAGTGGGAGGACTGAACCGTGGGAGAAAGGAAACCATGATCAAGTGATTGTCTGTCAGGTCAGTCATGGTGGAAACCATGAACCATGGTAAACATGCAGGGTTGCTTGCCATGTGCACATGGCCACCGCTTTCAGAGTTGTTTACACCAGCCCTCTCCAACCTGGTACCATCCAGATGTGTTGCATTGCAATTCCCAGGGCAAAACAAGAGGGAAGTCACACATATGAGTGAAGAATCAATCTGAGAGTGAAAGGGGGATCTCGGGCCCCACATGTTGGGGAGAATATACATTTCTTCGCTAGGGGCTGCTTTTCTTTTGTTGGCTGTATTGGAAGAAAAGGAAGATTCACCTGCTTCTTTCGCCCCAAAGCATCCCTCCAGCTCCCCTGGTTTGGTTTGTGGGGGCTTTTTCCAAGTGTGCCGATCCTGAGCCATGGACCCCTCCCAAGCAAAGAAGTGGCAGAAGGAAGGAGATTTTGAGGGGTGGGGTCAACTGCTGGTACAGAGTAGTTTCTTTTACCCTCCCCCCCCCCCCCACACACACACCAATCTTTCACTGCTTGAGAGAATCCACAGGACACCCTTGGAAGGAAATGGGCATTTGTCCTTCCTTGGGAAATGTGTGAAATTGGTTTTCTTTCATTCTTCTTTCATTTTACCCAATTTTCACCTTCCAGACCAAATAGACTTGGACACAATCTTCTAAGCTTGCAGGACGATTTCCAAAGCATGCTCTTGATGCATGCTTCTGAAAAATGCATGCTTGGGAGAAATGTGCAGGTTCCTGGCATTTAACTGAGATCTGCCTCCTTGTAGTTTAACCCTGTTACTATTGCTCTACAACCTTGCACGGCATTTTAGGGTTAGTCGCAGGGTGCGGAAGCAATGTTTCTTGCACAGACAAATACCTCATAGCCAAAGTTCCCCTCTCCATCCCACCCCAGCAGTTTAAATGAGGCTTTGCTACCAGCTTGGGAAAGAGATCTTGGGACAAGCTTTCTTTCCCTAAGCTGTTTCCCTACATATGCTTTGGACTACAACTCCCAGTATTCCTGATTCCTGGTGAGGCTTGCTGGGGCTGATGAGCATTGAAGTCCCTAATATCTGGAAAGAGTTGGCAGCTTCAAACACCTATGGTGGGAATTGCCACCAAGTGGCCTAAAATCCCCACATTTTCCTTAAGGTTCATACCCAGGTGGTGCAAGGACATAGGAAAAATTCCTTCCAATTTGTTTTTTTTAATCTGAATTTACTCAATGTGCGTCTTCTGGACCAAATATGAACTCAGTTCATAGGCCAAGCAAAATGCTTGGTGACCACATGTGTGCCTTTGAAAATGCACAGGAAAGGAGCACATATTTTCAAAACTGCACACTGGGAGAAGAATGAGTGCATTTCGAAGGTGCACACAAGTAATGCAAACCTTTGGGAAATGGGCAGGGAAATATGCCTCGATTTTCATGTGAAAAGAAAAAAGACCCAGCATTTGCAGCCCTATACAGAAGGAGCTGACTTCAGACGTCAAGGTGGAATTTGGAGAAGTCTGAACTAGGATTGCTTGTGTGCCCGTCTCTTGTGGGGATACTGTCAAACCACACAACCCAGAACAATGGTTTTCCACTGCAGGGAAGCCGGTGTTCATTTCCAAACAGCTTTCTTCTCACCAGGCTTGTGGTTCCAAAGTGTCATGGTCCCAATCCAGCTCTAGTGCCCTCTGACACTGCAGCTTTTATCTGGTCAAAGAGAGAGAGCGAAGCAGAATGCAATCACAGCTTGTTTGAATTTTTCTACCGTGTGTGAGTTCACTACATAGGTCACATATGTGCACCAAGTCGAAATGCTGACTCTTTGCTGGAGATGTTAGCAGGCAGCTTTTCTGCACCCAGTTCTGACAACTGGTCAGTATCCTAGCCAGGCTAGGTTTTATTTTGGCAACTCAAAAAGCATCGCTGCAAACAATTCTGTTTTCCACACCAGTATGTACACACACACACACACACACACACACACACACACTGTAGAAACATAGAAGCATCAAAACATAGAAACAGAGTGAGTCAGAAGGGGTCTCCCGGGCCATCTAGTCTGACCCCCGGCTCCAGCCGGCTCCGCTCATGACATGCCCACCATGTGCATGTACAGTCTATCCTTGAACGCCCACACCGATGGGGCCTCAACCAACTCCCCTGGAAGCCCATTCCACACCTGTGGGGTCCTCACTGTCAGGAAATGCTTCCTGGCATCCAAATGGAACCTGGTTCCCTGAACTTTGCTCCATTGAAGCGCATCCTGCCTTCCTCTGCAGGGGACATCAGGTCTCTCCCCATCTCCATGTGACACCCCCCCACATACCTGTATGTCGCCAACATATCCCCTCTGAGTCTCCTCTTCTCCAGGCTGAAGAGACCCAGCTCCCTCAGTCCCACCTCATACGGCTTTCCCTGCAACTGGCCACCAACCTTGTGGCCCTACGCTGCACTGACTCCAACCTGGCTATATCCTTCCTTTAATGAGTGTCCAAAACTGAGCACAATACTCCAGTTGCAGGAGCACCAGAGTCATATAGAGTGGTAGTAATACCTCTCTTGATCCAGAAGCCACACTTCTGGCTATGCAACCAAGGGTGGTGTTCGCCCTCTTGACCACCGCATCACACGGCTGGCTCATGTTCAGCCTGCAGTTGACCAGCACCCCAAGGTCCCTTTCACAAGTGCTGCTCTCCAGCCACTTGTCACCCAACCTGTACTTATGACACCCATTCCCATGCCCCAAGTGCAAGACCTTGCACTTATCCACATTTAACGCCATCCTGTTGTCTCCTGCCCACTTCCATAGTCTGTCCAGATCCAAAAGGATCTGG